GATCACCCTTAAAAAACAAGCGACATATTATTTGATACAATCACATCAACTTTTTCAACAAAACACTAAGAATCCAACTGAACCTTTGCAAGTTATTAAGGCAACTGAGCTGGAATCAGTTTTGCATAATTTGCATAAGAATATTTTATCTGGACATTTTGGAATTGAGGCAACTTATAACAGAGCTAGAAGTCGATACTATTGGCTGAATTTGTACAAAACTATTGCCGAATATATTAAATCCTGTAACACATGTCAATGACAAGGAGTGCCTATACAACATGAGGAAATGCACCCAATACTAGTAGGAAAACCATTTGACCAAGTAGAAATCGATATCATAGGACCATTAACAGTAACAACTAGTGAAAACCAATATATTGTAATAGCAACTGAATATATGACTAAATGGCCTGAAGCCAAAACCATTAAGGATATCAAAGCAATTACAATCGCTAAATTTATTTATGAGGAAATTATTTGCTAACATGGATGCCCTAAAGTACTATTGTCTGATCAAGGAACACCTTTTTGCAATAAGTTAGCGGACTCACTATGCCAACTAATGCAAATTAGGCATCGTCTATTATCTGTCTATTACCCACAAACTAATGGATTAATCAAATGCTTCAACAAAACATTATGTATTACATTGGCCAAATATGTTAGTGACTATAGTGATACTTGGAATACTTTCCTAAATGCATCATTATTTGCATACAGGATTGTTCAAAATAATATAACAAAATATACACCATTCAAATTAATGTATGGATAAGAGACAATAACATCTATGGATTTACAATATCAAATATCAATTGACAAAAAGAAACCTATGGAGAAGCAGTTGCAACAACATATTAATTTCATTATCAATGATTTTCAAAATATATAAATAACTGTACAACAAAATATTGGGAAAGCACAGGAAAAACAAAACCGATATTATGATCAAGGTATTAAAATAGAAAAATTCAATATTGGAGACAAAGTTTTATTATACAAATTGGCAAAAGCGACAGTACATGAAGACAAATTTAGAGAAAAATAGACTGGACCATACTACATACACGAAGTAAACTCTACTGGAGCTTATAAATTAAGGACTATGAACAGAAAAATCTTGAAAAGGAATATCAACACTGATCAACTCAAGCAATATTTTGAGAGACTAATTTGGGAATAATGAATTATAATATAGTTATTAGTTATTATTATTATTAGTTGAACAATATATAATCATAGGACATTATCTTTCTTGAAGACATGACAATAGAGATGAATTGTTATAACAATTGTACACGAGTGTGGGGCGCATAATACTTGGTTATTTTGAAGGATTATCTATTGAAAAAAAGAAGATTCAAGTTATATGACAACAAGAGCCCACTGAGCAACACCTTATTGTCATCTTATCACTGATCCACAGAGTAACACAGTAATAAGAAACAATGTAAGCAATAGACACAACAACAAATTTATTAGAAAAATAGTTCTGAAGGTTCAGGAACTACATGCGGATTTGAAAAGCAAGCGGAATATTCAGTATTGCTAGGATTAGGACCAGGATCTCTATGAGGATAACTCTCAGCCCAGGAAGGATTAGAATTTTAAATGAAAGGACGAGAGGTGATGTTGACCTGCCAAGGAAAAGGACGACAACCAGGAATGGAATGTCAACATCAGAATAATGCTGACTGAAGTTCACCGACATGCTCACGAAGTGTTAAAATTTCCAAGTGCAACGCATCTTCTTGACGAATTCTTATTGTCATCTGACTAGCATTTACCTTGAGGAGCGAATTAATACGAGACTGATAACAACTAAGGGATTCTTGACCATGAACTTGAAGATGGCACAGTTGATTTCTTTGCTCTTGATAATAAGACCACAAGTGAGACAATTGGTTTCGCAACTCAACCAATTCTTCTTGATACTTTGGACATTGACATCCAACAATGGCACAACCAAGGAACTTGATTTTCTCCTGAAGAGTCATTATACAACCAACAATAACATCAGGATGTTCAGCAGTACGAGTGAGTCTATTAACGTGAGGCATAATTATAATTAGAAGAATAGGGATGATGAACAATAAGAGAAAAAGTCAAGCTTTTAAATATAGGAATAACCAATGATCACGATCTGCTTAACCTCAAAAACTTATATAAGTACCTGTAATCCTGAGAAAATTCTCACCATGAGAAATACCCAAACTTATATGCCAACAATCAGCCTTGAGAAAAATGAACTTACTTAAAATAGATATGCTTTCCGTTTTGGATGAAACCCTTAAAAGATTTACTACACCATATAATCCAATCACACCAATCAATAAATCTATTAGGATGACGATTTTGGAAATTACCCAATATATGCGACAATCTCATCGAATCGCTGTATTAGTCCACTTGTATTACTTGAGAGAATTACTGAAAGTCACAAGAAATGCATGACAAATGTGAAGAGAATATATTCAAAAATATCCATTACCCAACCGTAAGAGATATTATCGAGCCGCCAGATGAACCTATGAAATTTTTCAAAATAACATGAAACAAATTTATCAAACAAAGTACTTGTCTATGCATTATATTGCCAGAATGACCAATGGAGATTATATGAATAATTTTTTAATTTTTGTGAAAGGTTTAGGCTCAGAGAACTTTGCCTTTTAAGGAAGAAAATATGTGATAGAATAGATAACTTAGTTTTATTTTTACTTATTTTTATCAAATTATTATTAGTTTATTTTTAGCAGTAGGATTTATAATTTTATTCTAGTATAAATATCTATTTATAGCATGTGTGACATATATCAGACAGCCTAGAAGGTCCAAACAGCCCGGAAGGCCCAGAAGATCTACAAGGCCTATTATTTATGAAATTATGACATCGCGACACATAGATCAGGCAGCTCAGACAGTCCAGACAGCCCAGGCAGTCCAGATAGCTTAGGATAGAAAACATTATATAAATAGCTGCTATTCATGTAATTTTTAGTCAGTTTCTGATAACTCACTCTTGTAATCGTTGGAATTTCTAATTCAATGTCATAATAAAGTATTATTATTTTATTAAACATATTTTGATTACAAATATTTATTAAGGAATCTTTGCCGTACCTTGGAATATTTGTGAGAGATTATCTCTGGAATGACAGACTGTTCTATATAATCTCTAATTCCTTTTAAAAACTACTACTCAGATACAGATCAAATGGATTTTGATCACAATATGATCAATTATTGATAAGATGATTAATCTATAGATTGGTGATATGATTTTGTTTTAATTATGGTTGTCAAAATTAATTTTATTTATATTGATCATTATATAATATTTTGGTTATATAAATTTGTTTAATATTTAGTAGTATTTAATTAATTGAGTTTGAAATAATAATTATTTGACAGAAGTAAACTGATTATAGTTTTTTAGTGAGAAATTTTTTGAATGAAATTTTTTAGTTTTTTGTAGTATAGTATTGTTGGCGTGCAAATCCGGCGAATCTGTCGCTTGAGCGCGCCTCCCGTCGTGTAACAATGGAGCGTGTCTTTTACTCGAAAGAGATGTGTGTATTTGGTCCGAGTCGTGGGATAGCACTACAGATCAATCGGTAAATCCGGGGATCTAGGGGGTTGCTACTCGTGTGGCAATTCCTCAAGTGTAGTGTGTGTGGATCAGGTAATAGGGCAAATGTTCAACAATGGAATCTAGGAGAATGTCAGAGTTGCATAGTACCTATCTGGAATTCTCCTCATTTTCGTTCCTTCTTCTGTTACTTATATACTTATTTTTAATATACACTTTATACCTATTATATATTTTATACCTGATATACACTTTATACCTGATATACCTATTATACTTGATATACTTGATATACTTACTATATCTTTTTTCTTATTATTTTCTATCACCTTTTTATATGCTAACAGTATATTATATTAAGTGATATTAAAGAATAGATATTATAAATATTATTGGTACTTCAAATTAATAATATAAATAATATTGATATAAAATTTGATTTTTTAAGTTAAAAAACTGCCTTCCAAGAAAAGAAAATGTTTATTTAATAAGAATTCTTTTTTAACAATATAAAGAACTTCAAAGAAGATTTATAAAAAAATAACTGTCACAGGTTTTTTCTCATATAATTTAAAAAAAAAGCAAAACTTTAAACTTATTTTTTTTAATCAAATATAAAGATAGATCTTTAAATTAAAAGCAAAGACATAATTCAAATGTTCTTCATTATTAAAAAGTTTTTTTAAAAATATAAGATTAAAAAAAAACCATCTATAAAAATTTTTTATAATTTATACCATTTGATTTAAGTGTTTTTTAAATTATGTTCTTATTAAAATAATGAATAAATAATTATGTCTCTTCAAAAGAGACATAATTAATCTGCAAAATTTTATATACTAAATAATTTAGAGATCTATCCTTAATTAAAGATATTATTCTAATATATTAGTATACTTCTCTAAGTTTCTTGAAATTCCTGTAGTAAAAATAAAAGTATAAAAAACTTTTGGATATTGTATATAAATAAGTTTTTTTTTTTTTTATTAAAATAAAATTAAAATATTTCTTATTATATTTAAATAATTTTATTTTTAAAATATTAAAAATTTTCAACTGAAAAAAATCATAAAAAATTGTTATTTAAATATACAGTATATAGTACATAAAAAAAAAAATTCAGACTGTAGGTAACACCATCATAATGTCACGTCATTCAACACACCTATACACAATATATTCAGGAATCAAAAGCTGTGTTGAATAAATGTCCGTTTATATAAATCAAACAAAGAAGCAATAAGAGTGTATATCGGAAAGGCTTTTGAAAGAGATTATACAACCTCGCATTCGGCATCCAAAGCCTTTCTCTTCAAGTCTTTAGACCACCACTTTCCTATCTATTTTTGCAAGCTCTCATCTCATCTAATATTAAAAGCTTACTATTTTTTGCTACATTTCCACGATGGAAGACGCCTCTAATATAGCTAAATTTTGTGTCAACGGTTGTGGATTCTATGGGTATGTAAATTTAAGTCGATTCCGAATTAACATTGAATTATAATAAATCAGGCATTAAATTTAACGAAGTAAATATGAATAAAGTGTAGCGCCTGTCTAATATTTAGAGTATAGCTTTCCCTAATTATGTAAAGGTGTCGTACTTTTTCAAACTAATTTCCGTCTATACACAATGTATAACTGCTCAATGACTATTTTACTTTAATAGTCGCCCGGACTACAATAATATGTGTTCTAAGTGCTTTAAAGAATGCAATGCAAACAACAACCAAAATGGTATGTATCTATTTAGTTTAAAAGGTTCTGGATCACAATCCTATAAGTCATTTATTGAATTTGAATTGTTCTTTCAGTTGAAAAATCTATAGAGCCTTCCATGCCTTCCGAAGCTTCAACCCAACAACCACCTATCATTACAAATAAACTTCAAGGCTCTTCTCCCTTGTCCAATACCTTACCTGAAGAAAGTCCTTTCCAAAAGAATTTGCCTGTTGCTGATGCAAATAACCCTCGACCCACTCAAATCAATCCATCTCGTTGCTTCGTTTGTCGAGCTAAGATTCCTTTGGCTAAGCAAACTATTAATAAATGTCGCTGCGGTAAGGTCAATTAAATAAATTTGAATTGATTCTGCGTAGAATGATTTCTTATAATCATAATACCAAAAATTTTTTAGAATATGTTTTCTGTGATAATCACAAAGTTCCGGAAAAGCATGAATGTGACTTCGATTTCGCTAAGATGGGTAAAGATATTTTAGCGAAGAATAACCCTAAGTTGAACGACGTGCACAAAGGAGGTCGTTCATTTAATAGGATTGATTAAGTTAATATATTAACGAATAGCGAACCACGATAGATGTTAATAAGATTGATAGGGTTATACAGTGTTTATCATTGCAATGCAATCGCTTACGGACATTACCACATTATATAGTTAAAATCATAATTCGCGTGACTTGTGCTTTTTTTTATATTGTTGTTTGCCTTTTAGGCATCCATTTATTAGAATTTCATCATTATTCGATAACCGGTATAAATTTTGATCTTTTAAGAAAGTAGCAAATATGATTTTACTTTGTCTTTATCGATATAGCAATTTGTCGGCAAAGTGCAAATGTTACCATTACACATATTCGATCAAAGTCATGAAATCCAAGATCCAAGGCCTTATAATTTAAAAAGTCACATAATATTTAAGTCCAATTAACAACACATCATCTAAATTTATATAGGTTAGAACGAATGTCATAAATGTATAATTCTGAAATAGATTTGTTTGACAGCATATACAATACTTACAAGAAATATATCTCGTATATTTTAATTAAAATTTTAATTAAATAAATCTTTAAAAAATTTTTTTGCTATTTTTAAATATGTATAAGTTATAATCTATTATTATTTTTAATAGTATTTCAAACCTTATGCAAGTTTATGAAAATTTGTTTGATTCCAATTTTTAGGATCATACTTATAACTAAGGATCTTAATGATTCAATTTAATTTAATTCTTAATTTTCAAATTTATATTAAATTTCATATAAATCTATATAAATCTATTTGATTTTAATTTTTGAATTTATATTTGTAATTAATATGATATAATATTAATTATATTGATGTTAATTATTATTTTGTTTTAAATACTATAAACATAATTTCTTGAAGATTTATATAATAATAATATAATAATTATATAATAATTTTTTAGATATATTTGGTCTAGTTATCAATAAATAAATAATATTAAACTTGATAATAATTATTATATTAATCTTTAAAAAAAAATTGTAAAAGAAAAAATTTTTTCAAAACTTATATTTTTAAAAAAATTATTACTTCTTAATATAATTTCTAAAAAAAGAAAATATATTACAGAAAAATTTAAGAAAAGAAAGTAAAATTAATAAGCTAAACAATAAATTAGATAATTTATTCTAAATAGATTTTTTCAAAAATATAATTTATTTTAAAATAATATTATATTACTGGTCTATAAAGAAATAACATTAAGCTAGAGTTTAATATTTCAGACCACTGTATATATTATATTAAATAATAATTAATTAGACAATTACGTCGATATTACGTTCAATATATGAATAAATTTGCCTTGATGATTTGAGAATGTCTTTCGTGCAACACCTATTTTGTATATAAGGATGAGCGTACCATAAAAAAATTACTTAAAAGGAAAAACTACAGTATATAATTTGAGAGCCACGACGTTCTGAATTTTACGCGAGTATTACGTACGTATGTATTGTGTATTTTAGGCAATTAAAAATGCACGAAATGTAGTACATTGATTACTGCGCCATTGGTTCAAATTTTTGTTGTAAAAAAGAATTCAAAATTACATATACTCCAAATTTTCGTTAGACATATTACCATGCAAGAAGTTGAAATCGCCCCCCGAGACGTCTTCATTCATTATATAAACGTTCCAAAGGGAAAAACAATATTGTGGTGGTTTTCAACAAAGAGGAAAAACATTTCTTTCGGGCTATACCAACGAAAGGGATTACCTGTATCAACCGGAAATGTTTTCATCGCTGCGACGAAGAATTCTAATGAACCTCGTACACCGCTTGGTTCTAGTGACGGTGGCCATTTGTCACCAGCATCCGCAAAATATCCGAATCCCACAAAGCCAAGTATATCTAGTGTAAAGAGTAGGACTTCATTTGATACAAATGATACTGATGAAAACGAAGAATTTCATGGTGATGATCCAACTCTGACAACATCACATTCCACTCAATCAAGCGTAAATCGTGGGCGCAAAAAATCAGCATCAACACAAATCATCAAAGATCCTGATTTGAAAGAGATTCTGCCTATCGAACATTACAATTCATCTACCGCTACGATTAAGGGAAGTTACCGAGTGGCCGAAGAAGGAACTTACTGTCTATGTTTTGGTAAAATAATTAAGGATATGTTTTTTTTTATTCATAAAATTTGTCATCGTTATTCATCCATACATATAACTTGTCGTCTTGAAGATAATTCTTTTTCCAGGAACACTTCAAAGTCACTGACTTTCTTTGTGGCCTTAAAGGAAGGTAAGCATATCGATTACAGAAGAAACAAGTAATTAATAAAATACCAACTGATCGTCCAAAAATTTCCGAATTATATTTTTTATCTTAACAGAAGATGAGCAGGAAAAATCCATGCCCGAAATTTCCGGTTGGTTACTAAAAAAGAAACGAAAGAAGATGCAAGGTAATAACCATTGATTATGATATATAGCAAATAGTACAAGCAAGAATCTGATCTGACCATATTTATAGGTTGGGCGAAACGTTGGGTTCAAATTGATAACGGAGTACTTTCTTATTACCAACACCCTCATGGTCCGTGTCGCGGGACGATACATATTGTTCTTTCAACAGTCTCATCTAGTCAAGCATTTCGTTCCATACATTTGGATTCAGGAACCGCTACTTATCACTTGAAAACACTCACCAATGAGGAATTTGATAATTGGATGTCAGTCATTCGCAAATATGTTAATATTTCAAAGGAAAGGCAGCTTCACGATCCTGATTATCCCAGGATTTCGTCTTCTCACCAATCAGGCGATTTTGAAAGGCGACAGAGTTTGTACCTTAAACGTCAAAGTATTTTAGAAAAACGACATAGCATTGCTTGGGGGAGCGAACCATTTTTGCGTCAAAATAATATTGATGAAGATATTGGAAAGATTTATGGAACATTTAATAATATGGAAAATGAATTTAGTAATATAAATGAACTTTTGGACGTTTTAAAAAATTTAGTAGAAACCCCCCCTACCCCAAATCAACCTAGACATAATACAACGGCTGAAGGAAAGTTTAGGTTAAAGAAGTTTTCTTTACAAAGAGGTAATTACTTCGTGTCACTTTGTAAGTTATTAATGATTATACGAACAATATGTTTTACATTGCATTCCCACATTTATTTGATTGTATCCTTTTCAGAGTCTTCATCACCGTCTCCATCTCCACCACCATACTCAATGCACATGTCATTAGATCAAGTATATGAGAAATTGAATACGGCAATCTTAAATATTAAAACAAATAAAGAGAATGCATTCACTTTGATGCAGACAGAGATTGAAAAATGGAAGGGAATCGATGTTGCATGTCGAAAACTTGTTGCGGAGAATACAGAACTACGCAAGATACTTGCCGAGACTCATAGCTTTGATGAAAACGGTCACGAAGAAATGACCAGTGAGAGAAACAATAATAAAGATTTTAGTGAAAAAATAAGTAACCGTTCACAATCCATAAGTTCGACTAATACCATCCCCGACGTGTTTTTTGACGCTGAGGATATCGTTTTAACTGGAGATCCCTCAACAACAGATAGTGATGTATCTAATATTGAAGTTAGTGATGAGGAAAGCGAGATAGAAACTATAATGAAAGGTTCGATCATTGAACATGAGGTTGAAGCACCTGTCGAAGAGACGACGAATACTACCACTGTTGACCGAAAGATGACAATCCGAAGGAGAAAGGTTCTACCTTCACCAATTTGTGGTGATGATGTCAGCTTACTCTCCATCCTACGAAAAAATGTTGGTAAAGATTTAGCGACTATTGCAATGCCCATTTCACTTAACGAGCCAATAAATCTTCTACAAAAGTTGGCGGAAGATTTAGAATATAGCGAGTTGCTCGACAAAGCTTCTGCCATCGATGATTCGATAATGAGATTAATATATGTGTCAGCATTTGCAGTGTCAGGATATGCTTCTACTTACAGTCGAGCAACTAGAAAGCCTTTCAATCCGCTTCACGGAGAAACCTATGAATTGGTTCGTCCAGACAAAGGTATTAATTTTTGTCAAATTCTTTTTCCTACGACATACGTGAGGCTTGAGTTGTTCAATGAATTAATTTGATAGGTTTCAGATTCATTTCCGAGAAAGTTAGCCACAATCCACCGATCATGGCGGTAAGTGAAAATTTATTTTTTTTTAAACTGTATACTTAATTTAATTATAACAAGAAATTTAAATTAGTGTCACGCGGAGTCGCAAAACTGGTCGTTTTGGCAAGACTCTAAAGTGAAGAGTAAATTTTGGGGTAATTATACTCGTGATTTTTATTTGTTCTTTGCGTTTGAAAGTGATATCTTATTGAACATATCATATATGTGCCTTCAGGAAAATCAATGGTACGTATTTTTCAAATGGTATCTCGCATTTAAGATCGATTTTTAAAATTTTCTTTCGCCTACTATCCTTTTTTATAGGAACTCATACCATCTGGTACGGTACATGTCTCGATTCCGAAATTCGATGATCACTTCACTTTCTCCAAACCATCCACTTGGATGCGCAATATGATTTCCGGGACAAAGTATCTAGAACACACAGGTGTAATGAGAATTCAAAACCAATCAACTGGTGAAGCTTGTGAAATTACCTTTAATCAGAGTGGACTTTTTAGCAGTGGGCCCAAAAGTGAGATTGTGGGAGTTTTATATCTCAGTAATGGTAATAAGTGTGGAAAGTTGGTAGGCAGATGGAATGAAATAGTTTTTCATGAAACAGGACCAAATCAACTAAAGGTTATTTGGAAAGCCAACCCTCTTATACCGGATCATGAACAATACTATGGATTCACTCAATTTTGTGTGGAATTGAACGAAAAGACACCAGATATTGTAGAATATTTGCCTAACACCGATACACGGTTTAGGCCTGATCAAAGATTATTTGAAGAAGGTAAATTGGCGGAAGCTGAGGCCGAAAAAATCAGACTGGAACAAAAACAACGAGATTTTCGAAAAGAACTTGAGTCAAAGGGTCAAACGTGGATACCACAATGGTTTAAATTGGAAAACGATGAATGGGTGTATAAAGGTGGATATTGGGAGACGAGAGAGAGTAAATTGTTCGTAAATAAGATTGAATTATGGTGAACATTTATCAATAATTCTATTATTTGATTTTTGTGTCAACTTTATTATTTAGCATTAATAGTTTTAAAATATATTTATTATATATTGATACGAATAACATTCATGTTATTTTATTTAGGCAACTTGACAAAACATTCACATAGAACAAAAAATTCACAAAATCCTTTTTCTTTTTTTTTTTTTTTTTGGCATTATTTAGATCATACTGATGTAGTTTCGAACTATTTTCATTTGTAAATTTGGTATATCTGTAATACTATTGGATAGACTAAGAACTTTGGTTTAAAAAAAAAATATCTTTATTTATGTCAATAATTCAAGTTATAGGAACAAAAAAAAAATGATTTAATAATAATGCTATTATAAACAACAATTATTAAATACAAGTTAATATTTAACTTATTATTATTATTACGGACATAAGATTTAACTTATTAACACGTTTTTGATTTGATAAATTTTTTTATTTGATAATTTTAATTCAGCAAATATTTAGTTAATAATTTATTTTTTAATTGAAGGCATGTTTTATTTTTAATTTTTTATAAAATTTTGTAATATATTATTCAATAATTTATTAAGTTGCCTTTATTAATTTATTATTAATAATAGATTTTCATAATAAATAAATATAAAAAATTTTATAAACATATTTTTAAAATATAATAACAAAAAAATATTTACAATTATATAATATTATTTGAAAACTTCAATATATTATGACCAACACTTTACTATTAAATTATATATATAACATAAATTATTTTGTTATTGACTTAATTATTCAAATTTTTTTTATAATGATTTAATTAATTACAATATAATTTAATTAATTGTAATACAAAAAAATCCAGAATTTTTTTAAACTTATATTTTTATTAATAAATCAATATAAAATTATTTAAATATTATAAAACTTTATAAATTTGTTTTTAAAATAAAAATAAAAAACCTATATAATTTTTTGTTAATTTAATATTAATTTTAAAGCCAATTTTTAATATAAAACTTATGTTTTTTTAAAAAAAGTAACAATAAAAATATTTCATTATTGTAATTTTTAAAAAATTATTATTATTAATTTTATTTTATTTTTTTTTCCAGTAGATAAACATCATTTCTTTATTTGTTTGTATATTTAAAAAGTATATATCATGAAAGAAACAACATCTCTTACATGCAATAGCAGTAAATTTAATGCTAGCTTGCTTACACTATCTATACCTAGCTAATATTGAAAAAGAAATTTAAAACAATACTATATGCTAAATATAGCTAAAGGTAGTGGCTAAGGATCCTAATGATTTGATTTGATTCCAATTTAAAATAAAATTGAAATCGAATAGAATTGAATAAAATTAATTTGATTTGATTCTATTTGATTCAATTCAATTCAATTCAATTCAATTCACTTTGATTTAATTCAATTTGATTCAATTTAATTCAATTCAATTCTTAGGATCCTAATAATTCAATTCGATTCAAATTTAAAATAAAATTAGAATCAAATTGAATTGAATCAAATTAAATAAAATTAATTTGATTTGATTATATTTAATTTAATTTGATTATATTTAATTTAATTTGATTCTATTTAATTTGATTTGATTTTATTTAATTCAATTTGATTCTATTTAATTTGATTCAATTTGATTTAATTCAATTCAATTTACTTTGATTTAATTTAATTCAATTTAATTTAATTTAATTCAATTTAATTTAATTTAATTCTATTATATTTAATTAATTTTAATTAATTTTTTAAATTTTTATATATTAATATATAATATTTTCATTTATAAAAAATAATAAAAATAAAAACTATTAGCAAAAAAATACTTAAAATCAGATTTGATTTAAAAATTATATATTAAAGTTTTTAAGATATATAAAATTAAAACAAGTGGTGAATCAGATTCTGTAAATCTAATTGATTCCTACTTTTTCAAAAATGGAATATGTGCAAATGGCAATTTTGAAATAGTATTTTGTAAGATATAACTTCAAGTATGCATGTTGTTTTCTGTGAGAGATATTTTCTATCAATTCTTCTAAATAATAAATATATACAAGTGTTAAAATTCTATTTTTTCTTTGTGATACTTTTTGTAACTTCTGATAGGTGTCAAAAATTATAATTTGGTAATCTCCAGAAAATCATAAGGGGCTGATGCAACCTCTACATTTTCAGGAGTATTTTGCAAAAAAAGTTTGATCAAAATAGTATAAACAATCATGGAATTATTATTTGCATATTGAAAATATTCAAATTTGAAAAAGAAACATGTTGTTTGAAGCAATTGTTCTTTTTATAGATTTTTGTGGGTATTTTTAAGGTTCTGGCAGATTTCATTATATTGTATATTTAAGGTCTTGTTAAAAATTATTAGTCAAATAATTTTTATTCAAGGTAGTATCAAAATGTCTTGTACTTATAGAAATTTTCACCAAGTTTTACTTCATCACTTGTATTGGGACTTTGTCTTCTGATTGCAACAAAATTTTGAAGTTAGAGTAGAGTTTAGTTTTTTAGAGAAATATATTTCTTCTCTTTGTTAAGAAGTCTTGGAGTTGCAACAATCTTGTCAATGTCTAGCAAGAGAGTTGAAGAGTCTTTATCAAATAAGAAACAGTTTTTCTCAAGCTATAGAATTGAAAAGAGAAAGGATCAATCTTAGATTAAAGATAGAAGCCTTGCAAGAATTGCTTCACCAGATGTCTTTTTTGCTTCCTGCTGGTTCTGGGAGACGTTTTTCCATTTATATTTGATTTCTTTCTTTATTTTCTTTTCTCAAATTATTATCTTGATTCATAAAAGGAAACATGATAGATGCTGAGTTTGCTCACTGGACTAGCAATAGTATGTAATGCAGTTACTCTCTGGATTGTCCATATTATACCATGTTCTCTGCTTGTTTTTTTCTCTTTCAGACATAATCAAGAGTCCAAGGATGCTTGTTTCGGACAAGTTGAAAACTGGGTTACTTAAGCATCTGCATCCACATCATATTGTGGTGTAAATTATTTTGCTGTTGACTTAATTCCCAAAATCCTTAAAAATAATTATGTCATGACTCAATTATTTATATGTTTTAATAGTGACTCAAATAATTGCGTCAAATAATTGCATTAAATAATTGCGTCAATTGCGTCAATTGCGTCAAGGATCTACAAATTTCAGCAACATGTATATACTGAACTCTTCAGTAGCTAAAGAATACTTCTTTCTATATATGTATGTTAGGTTCCTATACTAATTTGTCAAAATATAATTTCAAGAGAAAAAGATTGATAAAAGTAGCAAGAAATTTTTCTTTTATCATTTTAAGCTTGAAGACATCATTGGGCAAGATATCATAAATTTAGAAGGATTTTTTTCATTTTGATTTTAGTTTTCCTGTAAAGTATTTGTCTCTAGCAACATTATATATTAATACCTTATCTCCGATTTTGAATTTCTTATACTTTGTTACTTTTTGATTAAACTTTTGTTTTTGTCTTTGATATTTCTTGTAAATATTTCTTTTTGCTTGTTCTTGTTGTTGTGAAAATTCTTTTAATAAAATATATAATTAGTCAAAAATTGTTAATTGCAATATTTTATCCATATTAGCTGTAGGCATTTGAGATTTTCATTCATAAAGTAAATAAAATAATATTATTTTTGTAAAAGATTGTTTTGATATTCTATAAGCAAAAAATACTGGTAAAATATTTTAATCCCAATTTTCTTTACCTTCAGTTAACTTTTTATATAACTTATACAAAGTTCTGTTAAATTGTTTAATCAATTCATTAGTTTGAAGATGATATAGTATAGATAATAAATGTTTTATTTCAAATTGCTTGAGTAATCCATTTACTATTATATTTCAAAAATAAGTTTTTCTATTAGACAAGATTTATTTTGAACATTTATGTTTATAGATAATAACTTGATAAATTAATTCTGCTATATATTTTTCAATAGTTTCGGAAATTGTTTTTGTTTTAGACCATTTGATAAAGTAATTTGTTATAATTATAATATACTTGTTTTATTAGTAAGGGTTCTATAATATCTATGCTGATTCTGGAAAAGATTTCTCTAACAAGAATAGAATACAAGAGTTCTGGTGTTTTATATTTTTGACATTTTTGATATTAATCATATGATCAGATATAATTTTTGATATTTTTAAACATTTGGAACTAGTAGTATTGATTATGAATTTTCTCAAAGATTTTGTCAATTTCCAAGTATACACCTGTGGAATGGATGTGCATAGGACTTTGAAAAAATATAATTAATTCAAGTTAGCTCAATACAAAACTTGAAAGAGTTGAGCTTAAGTTTTATTTTTATAATATAAGTTAAATTCAAGTTAAAATATATATAATATTAAAATATAATAATATTAAAAAATAAAAAATCTAAAATTTAAAATTATTTTTTTAAATTATTTTTATAATATTAAAAGAAATTAAATAATAATAAAATAATAAAATAAAATAATAAATATTATAGAATTAATTAATTTATAACAATATATTTATATTTAATTAAATATATAAAAAATAATATTAATTATTGATATTATATTATATATTAACTCTGTAAATAGATTATATACTTTATCAAAAAAAAAAAACTCTTTCCTGCTCATCCAGATTCGCCTAAAATCTGTAGTAAACAGCTGAGAGTTAGCCCAAAAAACCTACCTGCCATGGCAATATATAAGTCCAATGCTCCCAGGAGTGCAGGCTTGCTCGCCTCCAACCATCCACTACACCAGGTACCCAAAACACAACAAAAACAAAAAAAAAATCAATGGCTAACCACATCCAAAGTGGGTGGAAGCAAGGCACCCAGTTGGCTAGAAACTTTAGAGAAAGGAGTAGATACCGCTTTCACTTGGATGGAGGACATCCGCATAAATATGGAAGAGCTCCAATGGGCATATACCCCATTAATGTTTGGCAAGTCAAATAAAGAGACAATGTCTACAGAACCAGAAAGT